ACAAACAGGTATTTCATAACTGCTTACAGTAAGGAAGACATTTAAATTATTATTGGCCGTCACAGGCTGCTGTAAGCTAAACACCTCTCTCTGACATAACACCTCACTGAGTGATTTAACTCATATGTCTCACTTTCAGGTTTCTCTTTTCAGCCGCAGACCCCACGTCGCCTCTTTATGTGCGTCGCTAAGTTCCTCATACTACTTGTGTACTTTAAAGCGGCTCGGCATCGTTAACAATTTGCGAGTGATTTTTCAAGTTGACCGTCTGTAGTAATAGTGCCGCGCACATATACCATCAGGACGTTACTGATGGGGTGCAGCTGCGGAGTGATACTGTGTGTATGCAAGTCCGCATCTAGGACGGATCTATGTATGGCTGTAGACCTGTTAAGTAATAAAGATACCTCATACAAAGGTCTACGGATACCTTATTACTCTCCATGACCTGCGCTCAACTATATAGCTTAAATGACTATTACACCGTCTTTCTTGAACAATCTGAAGTGTTGCCAAACGTTTGATTTGTAGGTATTTTTCGGTGCGCTGTGTTTCTCTTTCTCCTCAACTTCCGTGTGTGTTGATAACTGAGACTCTCGGCCTCTGTAGTGGCGAAGCAAATATCAAAGATCGTCTCTGCTGAGCGTTGACAAGATGAGGGGATTTTATATGAATGAATCGGTTTTTTACCGATGCAAAGACGCTATGCAATCGATGCATCGCGAGTTCAACCCGGTTCAACCCAAACTGTAGCCGATGTGCACTCTTTCAACCGGTGCACTCGCATCTTGAACGTTTATGCCGGTGCACCGATGCGAATCGGTGAATCTTAACATCTCTATCACAGATACATGAATCCTGATTTTAAACTCAAGCCGGTGACCAGTGATTCGTAACATTTTGAAGTATTCAGAAAAGTCCGAACTTTGAGAAAAAATCTGAATTTTGAGAAAAAATCTGAATTTTGTGATTTTGACAAAAACTCAGAAAAAGTAAGATAAAAAAAAAATCTGAATTTTTAGATTTTTGAGAAAAAGTCTA